GAGTCCTCTCCTGCTGATGTTCAGCTGTATATCAGTATGTAGTGTCTCTACTTTAAAGAGTCCTCTCCTGCTGATGTTCAGGTGTATATCAGTATGTAGTGTCTCTACTTTAAAGGGTCCTCTCCTGCTGATGTTCAGCTGTATATCAGTATGTAGTGTCTCTACTTTAAAGAGTCCTCTCCTGCTGATGTTCAGGTGTATATCAGTATGTAGTGTCTCTACTTTAAAGAGTCCTCTCCCTGCTGATGTTCAGCTGTATATCAGTATGTAGTGTCTCTACTTTAAAGAGTCCTCTCCTGCTGATGTTCAGGTGTATATCAGTATGTAGTGTCTCTACTTTAAAGAGTCCTCTCCTGCTGATGTTCAGGTGTTATATCAGTATGTAGTGTCTCTACTTTAAAGAGTCCTCTCCTGCTGATGTTCAGGTGTATATCAGTATGTAGTGTCTCTACTTTAAAGAGTCCTCTCCTGCTGATGTTCAGGTGTATATCAGTATGTAGTGTCTCTACTTTAAAGAGTCCTCTCCTGCTGATGTTCAGGTGTATATCAGTATGTAGTGTCTCTACTTTAAAGAGTCCTCTCCTGCTGATGTTCAGGTGTATATCAGTATGTAGTGTCTCTACTTTAAAGAGTCCCTCTCCTGCTGATGTTCAGGTGTATATCAGTATGTAGTGTCTCTACTTTAAAGAGTCCTCTCCTGCTGATGTTCAGGTGTATAACAGTATGTAGTGTCTCTACTTTAAAGAGTCCTCTCCTGCTGATGTTCAGGTGTATATCAGTATGTAGTGTCTCTACTTTAAAGAGTCCTCTCCTGCTGATGTTCAGGTGTATATCAGTATGTAGTGTCTCTACTTTAAAGAGTCCTCTCCTGCTGATGTTCAGGTGTATATCAGTATGTAGTGTCTCTACTTTAAAGAGTCCTCTCCTGCTGATGTTCAGCTGTATATCAGTATGTAGTGTCTCTACTTTAAAGAGTCCTCTCCTGCTGATGTTCAGGTGTATATCAGTATGTAGTGTCTCTACTTTAAAGAGTCCTCTCCTGCTGATGTTCAGGTGTATATCAGTATGTAGTGTCTCTACTTTAAAGAGTCCTCTCCTGCTGATGTTCAGGTGTATATCAGTATGTAGTGTCTCTACTTTAAAGAGTCCTCTCCTGCTGATGTTCAGGTGTATATCAGTATGTAGTGTCTCTACATGTCTCCATGCTTTAATGTTCAAAAAGCTCTTTATTGTTCTCATACTGTCTGTGCTGCAGCACCTCTTTTCACCCTCTGTCTGAAACCAGAGCCCAGTCTGCTCTCATTGATTAGCTGGCCGGCTCTGTTGTGATTGGTCAACCGCTTCCAGATGTCCCGCCCCTTAGACTATCACGTACAATGAGCGTGTGGCTCAGTGGATAGAGCCTTGGTGTTGGGGTCAGGGGGTCACAGGTTCAAACCCCACTGCAGTCAGCATGTCGTTGTGTCCCTGAGACACTTCACCCCAAATTGCTCCTGTGGGGATTTTCCACAGTATTGAGTATGCAACTCATAAAAGGGCCCCTTTTTAAATGATAATAAATAACTGAGTGATACAAAGACCCAGCATTTTCATTAATAACCAACTCTTAATAAGTGAAGGTGTATAGTCATAATGAAAGTCAGGTGTATAATAGAGCATTCAGGAATGTTTGACCCTCCACTTGTGTGTGTTCAGCCTGATGTGTGAGAAGAGGATCTTCGAGGTGATCAACACCTCGCAGCATCCGTTCCTGGTGAACCTGTTCGGCTGCTTCCAGACTGCAGAGCATGTGTGCTTCGTCATGGCCTACTGCCCCGGAGGAGACCTGATGACACACATCCACGCCAGCATCTTCACAGAGAAGCAGGCGCGGTGAGCACACACACTCCTATCAGGGACCAAGGCCCAAATACAGGACGGAGCGTCTATTAATAACTGTCTCTTTTAGGTTTTATTCTTCCTGTGTGCTGCTCGGCCTGGAGTTTCTACACCAAAACCAGATAGTTTACAGGTAAGTCCTTCTCTGGCTGCTTCAGGAAACTTCTACGTTGTTCCTAGCTGCACTTCAGAAGCGTGTGTGTGTGTGTGTGTGTGTGTGTGTCCTTCAGGGATCTAAAGCTGGATAACCTGCTGATGGATGCAGATGGTTTTGTCAGGATAGCAGACTATGGCTTGTGCAAAGAAGGTGAGAACATTATTATGCTCCAGTAAAAGTCAAACTCATTCTCTTATGTCATGTAAACGTGTTTCCTACAGCACAAGGCAATAAGTCCGCAGTGTATCCGTATCAGAGTTGGAACAGAAGTGTAGAGGACAGGATTGTGTGTGGAGGCTTGAAGTGTGAACACATTGTTTTGTTTGTCTCCTTCTTTAATAACTGGTGTGTGTGTGTGTGTGTGTGTGGGGGGGGTGTGTGTGTGTAGGTATGGGCCACGGGGATCGCACCACAACATTCTGCGGCACACCAGAGTTTCTTGCCCCAGAGGTGCTGACAGACAACAACTACACCCGCAGTGTGGACTGGTGGGGGCTGGGGGTCCTCGTCTATGAGATGCTGGTGGGGGAGGTTAGTACAGACCTCCAATAATCAGCAAACTGAAGGATGCGATGCAAAGCAGGAAACTGTTCAGGGCTCAGGCGATCACACAGAGAACAGAAATCCTCTTCAGGTCTGACCTCTTTGCCCACATGCAGCATAACAACTACTGTAACAATTCAAGGGACACGAGAAGGTGAAATGGGTATGATAATAAAAGAAATAATGATCCCTCTCGGTAAAATAAAGGAAGACATAGGACAAAATGAATAAATCAAATGAAATAATAAAGCTTATTTAAAACAGAAAAAGGCAAGCTGCAGGTAGAACCACAACTACATGTTGAAAATGGATTCAGAAATCACGAGTTCTGGACTGTGGACACTGGAATGAAGGAAGGAGGGATCTCTTTGCTGACAGAACAAGAACAGCGATCATGAACTATTTCAATGTGTTTATGCACTTGTGATTATTGTTTTAAGACGGACTGGTCAAAGTGACCCTCTCCTTTTAATATACAGGAAGTGCAGCAACGTTTGCCAAGATCTGTAGACTGCGTTTAAATGTGTGTCCTGTGTTTAGCTCCGGCAGACTCACAGTAACTCAGGTGATCCACCACTTCATCTGCTCTCTGTTCCCCAGTCTCCTTTCCCCGGTGACGATGAGGAGGAGGTGTTCGACAGCATCGTCAACGATGACGTGTGCTTCCCCCGCTTCCTCTCCCCTGACGCCGTGTCCCTCATGCAGAAGGTTGGCTTCCTATCACATGTTTCCTCCTGATGTGAGCGCTGTGTGTGCTGACGGCTCTCTCTGCTCTCTCTGACTTCCAGCTGCTGCAGAAAGCTCCTGAGATGAGACTTGGAGGGGGAGAAGGAGACGCCTCGGAGATCAAAAGACACAAGTTCTTTCAGGTGAGGATCCAGGAGCTGCTGACCTCCTCACTCTGAAACTCCTTCTCCCCTTCCTTTACACAACATGTCTCTGGGCAGCTGTTCTTTAGCACTCCAACTGCAGGCCAACAGCTGTCTCCAGCTCCAAGCAGGAACAGTTGATTCACTTGGTGGGGGGGGGAACTTAGGACCTTTTTATGAGAAAACTATTGGACTTGTGGACAAAGAGTTGGTTAGTTTGTCATCAGATCACATGGGTTATGTTTCCATTAGCAAGAAACCTGCATGGAACCCTACAACAACAGCACTCCTGATGGAACTAAAACCTCTGAGGGAAGTTGGAACAGCAGTTTAATGAGAGCTGAAGTCAAATGAAAGAAATCCATTAGGATGACTTCACATGTGTTAACATGCAGATGTCAGCTAAAGCAAGCAGTAGAAGTGAAAACAGAGGAATTCTCAGTTAACAAAAAGCAAACAGATGAAAGCAGTCAGTGGATGTGTGAGTGCCAGAAGCACTGGAACTATCATTTGAAGAGATGGAGATCCTCATCAGCTTTGAAGTGCTGTCCTGAGTGTAGACCTGTCGTGAAACTGAAACTGTTCACTGCAGATAAACTAAGTTAAAGAATGACATATGGTAGATAGAATCACAGTCCAGATAACAGGAATGTAGATGTTGAATGGTTGCTGTCAGCTGACTGTGTGTTCTTGGACAGGGGATGGACTGGAGCGCTCTGCTGGCCAAGAAGCTGAAGCCCCCCTTCCTGCCGGTCATCAGAGCGCTGAAGGACGTCAGTAACTTTGACGAGGAGTTCACCCGTCTCAAGCCCGTCCTCACCCCCCCACACACCCCCTGCATCCTCACCGCCGAGCAGCAGGACATCTTTGCTGACTTTGACTTCTCTTCCATGAGTTGACCGAAGACACTGTGCTGCCACATGTTTACTTGTATTGGCCATAAAGTGCTTCTGATTCATTGGAAGCTGAGAAACTACATTAGTGCCGATTTCCTGTCCGCAGTTCCAGGTGCCATCACTCTGGCTGTCAGTGGCTCCATCCTGCACACACGCTGCAGAACTCACTCCTTTTCACGATACAGAAATGATTTTTTAACATGTTTTGTCTCTGCCAAATTCATTTTGAACTGATCATGCTTACTATTTCTATCATGAAGCGGTAGGATCAGAAGGCTGAGCGTTACCGGTTCACACTGCATGGAATCAGTGCACTTTTTACACATGAACACTTCTCCAGCCCTCTCAATCCAAAGCACTTAAGTGTTAATGTTTGATCTTAATGAAGAGACTTGTCCCTAAAGGCCAAAGCAGTTGACCTTGTGCTGTGTAATGGAAGCATTATACGTCCATCTGTTGTTAACCTCTAATGTGTTGGGATGTCACATAATGAAAATAGCGCATTTGTCAACTGAAGTTCTTTCGCAGATTTCTCCGTCAATACAACTGTCTTTGTTATTTTTAAAGAATACAATCATAATGAAATATAGAATAAACCAGCCTGTGTGAACAACTAGAAGGAAATATAAATGAATAAATGTAAGTCTGCTGGAAAACTCTTCATTAAACATTTATTTATCCATGTGTAGATAGTCATTTCAAAGCTATAAAAACATTGCATATCATTCAGAAGTACACAACATGGATTACATGTTAATTAATATAAACCAGAGCTGTCAGTCCATATGGAGGTAATGCATTTATCATTTTACAAGTATTGCTGTCTGACAGGTTTCTATTGCACGAGACATACCATCATGTACTGCTGCTCCACAGTCGCTCCATTCAAATAGCCATATACAAATGTCAATACATTTTCTCTTTCAAAATAGTTTCAAAAGGATGTACAATATAAAATAGCTTGAAATGCTGTCCATTGAAAGTCATTCTGTACATCGTGCATTCAATGCTAGGAACAATTCAGCAGTTTCACTTCAAACTGCTTTGCAAATAGAAAGATCAGGTTTGTCTTTAGAAGCAACTGGACCCTGTAAAACCTGCAGAATACACATGACTCAGCAATTCAAGCATTATCACAAAAACAGAAAGAAGATATCCACAATGAAAACAATAACCGTACAAAATGTATTCTCCAACGTGTTGATCAGGATGAGTGCACAGATAGGAATCTGGATAGTCTACACATGCACCTAAAACAAGTATATATATATTAATCATATGTTTATGCAATATTGGACATGTATTAAAAGTAAACTTACAAAATGATTAACAGTCCATTAGTCATGTTTCACAGTAAGAATACAAGTACTCCAGGAGATTTTCAGAGGAGTATGCAGGAGTGAGTGTGGGGGTGGGGGGGGGGGGGGAATGTGGGAAATAAACAGCAAGCATGAGTCAGCAGAATCACACAGTTAGGTACCTGTCTCTGTGGACATGGTACTGTATACTTGAATGGTTGTAAACAATTGTTAAATAAAGGCTGTAGTGCTGGTAACCGGTTGTCCACGCGAGACATCTATCTGTTGACAGCCACTTGGGGGAAACAGGAAAAGTGCAACACTGAGAGGAAACGACAACAGGGAATATAAAAGGTAAACTGCACACAGAGAATAGCTGCCAGCACTGTGAACCTAGACATGTTGAGTACCCACACGTGTTATGTTAGAAAATGTATAGTAGGGTCCCCAGCACATAGAAACTGTCAGATGCTAACTTGCATATGTTGGGCAATTTGCACAATTAGCATTAGCTCAAAATTAACAAATCGACTCACAGAGAGTACAAATATGGCCACTTTCTGGTTAAGATTGCCATGGTTGATCCTGGAAATGTCAGAAATGGACTCAGCATCCTCAATCAGCCCCAGAACCACTCCAAAATTGCCCAACATATGTAAGTTAGCATCTGGCAGTTTCTATGTGCTGTGGACCCCTACTATACATTTCTAACATAACACTTGGTGTACTCAACATTTCCGGGTCCATTATAGGACTCGAAGAGCTGGCAGACTGAGTAACAGGAAGAGTTCATTCCACAAAGTTGTGGTCACTGTCGGATCCCCAAACCCAAAAGTTGTTCTGTCAGTGTTCATGCTCGCCATGTATTCCTACACCTGGTCGCTGCCCTCCCTGAAGTACACCTGCTCCCACACCACGGTCCCCCACACGCAGTAGAAACCCCACAGATTGTGGAAGGTTCCGCGGTCGAAGGGGTTCTCGTCGGCGCCGCAGTGCTTCAGGTAGGAGATGCGGTGGCGCGCCATGAACTCCCAGGTGGTGGTGTTGAGAGACACCAGGTAGAGGTGGGAGCCGAGCAGCAGCAGCACCACGAGAGAGAGCAGAGCCAGCAGCGCGGCCACCGCCAGCAGAACCCCGTCAGACCGCAGCCACTGCTGCCAGCTGGGGGCCGCGCTGAAGCCCGTCCTGAGGACACAACAGAGCTGTGTGACTCATCAGACTACACAACTAAAGGATACATTAGGAAAGCGTTTTTCAGCCTTTTTGCCCTGCAGTAAATACAAACAAAAGATAACTTTTGCTGTATGGCCTCGAGCTCAATGTGTTCTTTCTTTTGACCACAACTTCTCTAGGCCTACTAGGCTCTTCATCTTGGTTAAAAGTTGGTTCCAGGACCCGGTTCAGTCTGCATTTTTCCTTTTCAAATATTCATCCATCGCTGTTACATGTCATTTAGCTGACGCTTTTATCCAAGACGTACAATAAGTGCAAAAACCAGAAAGACTCAAACTCCGAACAACAAGGGAAGTGCAGATATATTCACAGTTTTTTTCTCAGCAATAACTGAATTGCCGAGGTAGTTCTCCTCTCCCACGCACCACTACACTCTACTGTACCAATCAGCAAGGTCCTTACTGTGCTACCTACTGGCCTGGGTGAGTATTTCATCTACTAGAGAGCCACTACGTTGCAGGCACTGACGCTCAACAATGGCAAATTATCTTCAGCAACTAAATAATATTAGGTGAAATTGGACAATTTCCCACGGCACACTTGACGATCTCTCAGGGCACACTGGTTGAAAATCACTGCATTAGGAGGGGTGGGAAAAAGAGACGGATTATTCAGCACAAAGGAAAACAACTTCCTCCTTAGCTTGGAGAACGTGGATCAAATATACTGTAACACAAGCACAGAAACACATCGAGATGAGAGGTTTTTAGATCATTTGAACAAAGAAAGGAGATCCCTTCCAGCTTATGGCCACTATTTTGATGGTAACATCATTCCTAACATTGGATTGGACACATTATACTTGGGGACAATGAACATGGGAAATGGTATGTAATGTAAAAGACGAGTACATGTTCAGGATATTGTTCACTGCATGTAAAAAAGGATCTTAATAGAAAGATACATTAGTACAAAAGCTTTAGGGCAGGGTTGATGTAATACAACATTTAATATATTCAACAGAACTTGGGATGATTGAATATATATAAATATATATATAAGATCAGACTTTATATGGAGGGTTCTCGGCTGCAGACACTGTAATGCATTGTTTGGTTTTCAGTCGAATGATATTCAAAGTTTGAGAAATAACGCGGTTTGTTTTTTTAAATCAATAAATGTGAATGGGTATTGTTTTGAAAAAATCATGATCTCAATAATGACTAGAATGTTTATTTGAAGGATTTGTGTCCTAATGCAGCAGGCCTAGCAGAATCCTCAGTGTGGAGGGTGTGTGCTCACCAGGCGATGTGCACCCCCCACAGCAGCACCAGCAGCTGCACAGCCAGGTAGAGCACGAACCAGCGGTGGTTCCTCTCTCCCACACAGTTCTCGATCCAGGGGCAGTGGTGGTCGTAGCGCCGCACACAGTGCTGACACGTCTGGCAGTGCTTCGACCGCATCGGCTGCTGCTTGGAGTAATTTAGAGGAAACATCATTATTTGAATAAAATGAACATTCATGGCACTTTGAGTGCAGGCGTTAAGTTTAGCTGTTCTTCTGTCGTTTTTCGATGCCACTGTTGTGATGAGTCCGGGGCTGAAGACAGTTAACATGATGTCTCTGTTTCACAGTCCTGCCATAGAAAGCTTCTCTAACAGAATACCCAGGGTGCTGCAGAGATCTGTTCCCAGGGTTCAGGGCTCCACACCCTCAGAAAACAAACGTCAGGAATAAAGGAGGATTATCTCAGTGTGAGGACAGGAAACACTGCATACGGCAAAGAAAACAGACATATATCTGACCTATTCAAAAAGCACCTGGATTATTTTTAGTTAATAAGGCTCAACATTTTCCTGCCCTTATATCTGAGGTGTATTTTCTGTTGCATTACATCAGCAACACTTTCCCCGTGGTTCTTCAACATCCATCCATGATGCAAGCTTGGGACTAAGATAAGATAAGGTAAGGTAAAATAAGGTATAAGATAAGGTAAGGTAAGATAAGGTAAGATAAGATAAGGTAAGGTATAAGGTAAGTTAAGATAAGGTAAGGTAAGGTATAAGGTAAGGTATAAGGTAAGGTAAGATAAGATAAGATAAGGTAAGATAAGGTAAGGTAAGGTAAGATAAGGTAAGGTAAGGTAAGATAAGGTAAGGTATAAGGTAAGATAAGGTAAGATAAGGTAAGGTAAAATAAGATAAGGTAAGATAAGATAAGGTAAGGTAAGATAAGGTAAGATAAGGTAAGATAAGGTAAGGTAAGGTAAGATAAGGTAAGGTAAGATAAGATAAGATAAGGTAAGATAAGGTAAGGTAAGGTAAGATAAGGTAAGGTAAGATAAGATAAGATAAGGTAAGATAAGATAAGGTAAGGTAAGATAAGGTAAGATAAGGTAAGGTAAGGTAAGATAAGATAAGTAGATAAGATAAGATAAGATAAGGTAAGATAAGATAGATAAGATAGGTAAGATAGGTAAGATAAGATAAGATAAGGTAAGATAAGATAAGGTAAGGTAAGATAAGTAAGGTAAGATAAGATAAGATAAGATAAGGTAAGATAAGATAAGGTAAGATAAGGTAAGATAAGGTAAGATAAGGTAAGATAAGATAAGATAAGATAAGGTAAGATAAGATAAGGTAAGATAAGGTAAGATAAGATAAGATAAGGTAAGATAAGATAAGGTAAGGTAAGATAAGGTAAGGTAAGGTAAGATAAGATAAGGTAAGATAAGATAAGATAAGATAAGGTAAGATAAGGTAAGATAAGATAAGATAAGGTAAGGTAAGGTAAGATAAGGTAAGGTAAGATAAGATAAGGTAAGGTAAGATAAGGTAAGGTAAGATAAGATAAGGTAAGGTAAGATAAGGTAAGGTAAGGTAAGATAAGATAAGATAAGGTAAGATAAGGTAAGGTAAAATAAGATAAGGTAAGGTAAGATAAGGTAAGGTAAGATAAGATAAGGTAAGGTAAGATAAGGTAAGGTAAAATAAGATAAGGTAAGATAAGATAAGGTAAGGTAAGATAAGGTAAGGTAAGATAAGATAAGGTAAGAGGAACCTTTATTAACCCCCGAGGGGACATTCAGTTGTACAAAGCAGCAGCAGGGTAAGCGTGAACAAAACAGTACAGCAAAGATTCCCACAGATCAATCAAATCTAAAATAAATAATAAATAACATAAAATCAGGGAAATAATGATAATAATGATAAAAGACTATGAAAATAGGAGATGAATAAAAATAAGAGTAAAATACCTGTCAGCATATATACATATTTGGTCATCATCTAAGTTATAAAGTGGAGCAGGATACACAGTACACGTGTTGCTGGTCCCATAGAGCCATAGCATTTGTATTCATTATATTTGAAACAGATTGTCTGTCTGCTGTTTAAAGCGTCTAAAAACTCAAAGTTAGTGCATTTTCTCAAATTTCTTTCAATTCTGTCAAAGTTTATGTGGCTCTAAATGTTATATGGTTAGTTTGGAACAATGACCTCTACATAGGAAGGCATTTCTCTACCGCTTATCATTTAAAAATAAATCTCAGTCAGATTAGATTGTTGCTTGTGTGTGTTGGTATTTAAAGACCTGTCAATCATTTGAGAATGATATCAGGTTCAAATATTTCAACTTCAGTTTGGATGATGGGTTGTGTTTTAAGTAGCTTGGATGTTACAGGTTAGAGACTTCGTACAGACATTTCTGACTATTTTATTTTATTCTTATAAAAATGTTTGTCTTGTTATTGCACTGTTGAGGAACATGTGACCTACGTTTTCATTGCATAACTACACCGTAGTTGTGTCTAAGACATGACAACAAACCTTTGAATCTTGAATCTCAAAGACATAGTGAATACCTGTGGCGCTGTGTCATGTGACGCTCTGAGTTCAGGAAGAAGTACAACTGTGTAACTGTACTGCCTAGCAACACCTCTGTCATTCGATAGCACTCATGTTAAAGTACTGTAGAACCTCAGGTGTCACCCGAAGAGCTCCACTGGATGCACAGCACATGACAAATAACTGCCACGTACAGGCCATCAGTCCCACAGGCTCACAAACAGCTTTTAGATTCAAATTCCTCTACTTCACAAGATGCTCTTCCCCAGATCTCCCTCTGTCTGCCCTTGCTTCACTTCGCACACATCGTCCAGTTCCATACATTAACAACGGAGCAATGATAGCTAACGTCTGTGAGATGTGGTTGAAAGCCCCAGAAAAGGTTAGTAAGTGGCCCTTCAGTTGAATGTTTTAGTTGTCAAACCACTTTTCCCCCAAGTCCAGACCTCACCTTCACACTCAAATTGAGGATTAAAATATATATATTATAAGAATATTATATTATATATTTCTTTTGAAAGTTGCAGTTCAAATAAGAATACTTAAAGGTGGGGTAGTTAAGTTTGAGAAACCGGCTCGAGATACACTTTTTGTTATATTCCATGGAATGCTCTTAACGTCCCGATAGCAATGAATATCTGAAGTGCTTTGACAATAAACACATAAAAACATCATCTCTGGAAGCCGTGGCGCTGTAAAAAGCACGACCAATCATCTGAGCCGGCCCGGCTAAAATAACTGGATGGCCTACCTGCCTGTCAGCCTTCCATCTGTGCACAAACTGATCTCGTGCCCTCATTGGTCATGTGCGCGTTCATGTGTGTTGGAGGAGGCAGATTTTTTCCGGTTGTGTATTTTCAAATTCTAGCGCACTCGAGCTGGTTTCTCCAAAATGACCTACCCCACCTTTAAGTCCCCAAAATGATCAATTGTAAATCAATGACTCACTCCATGTTACTTAGAATGTTCCACGCACGACTCCAAAGTGAACAAATAATTAAAAACAGTGAACATTCTTGCTCAAGGGGGACTTGCTCGAGGGGGACTTGTTCGAGGGGGACTTGCTCGAGGGGGACTTGTTCGAGGGGGACTTGCTCGAGGGGGACTTGTTCGAGGGGGACTTGCTCGAGGGGACTTGTTCGAGGGGGACTTGCTCGAGGGGGACTTGTTAGAGGGGGACTTGCTCGAGGGGGACTTGCTCGAGGGGGACTTGTTCGAGGGGGACTTGTTCGAGGGGGACTTGTTCGAGGGGGACTTGCTCGAGGGGGACTTGTTCGAGGGGGACTTGCTCGAGGGGGACTTGCTCGAGGGGGACTTGTTCGAGGGGGACTTGTTCGAGGGGGACTTGTTCGAGGGGGACTTGCTCGAGGGGGACTTGCTCGAGGGGGACTTGTTCGAGGGGGACTTGCTCGAGGGGGACTTGTTCGAGGGGGACTTGTTCGAGGGGGACTTGTTCGAGGGGGACTTGCTCGAGGGGGACTTGCTCGAGGGGGACTTGTTCGAGGGGGGACTTGTTCGAGGGGGACTTGCTCGAGGGGGAATTGCTCGAGGGGGACTTGTTCGAGGGGGACTTGTTCGAGGGGGTCTTGCTCGAGGGGGAATTGTTCGAGGGGGACTTGTTCGAGGGGGACTTGTTCGAGGGGGACTTGCTCGAGGGGGACTTGTTCGAGGGGGACTTGCTCGAGGGGGACTTGTTCGAGGGGGACTTGTTCGAGGGGGACTTGTTCGAGGAGGTCTTGCTCGAGGGGGACTTGTTCGAGGGGGACTTGTTCGAGGGGGACTTGTTCGAGGGGGACTTGTTCGAGGTGAGTAATTGATATACAAATCGTTTATTTCTGATCAAAACCTGTGTGAATGCATATAGAAGTGTTCTGATTCTGATCAGCCTCATGTCAGGGAGGGCGTACCTGCAGCAGGCAGTGTCCACAGCGCCGCTGTCTCAGGGACTTGGTGGTGGGGGGGATCATGTCCTGCTGCTCCTCAGTCACTCCCAGCGTGAACTGAAATACGAGAAAACATTTCAGTTCAAGCATGACCTATCAGAAAAAGCACCCTTTAATAGAATTGAGACTCATAAAGGTGATGAAATCCTTCATTCAGATATTTTCAAATATTTTGCCTTTACCAAATATTGTGCTTACTGCTATTTGGACTAGTCCATATTACAATTATGTTCATATTTTTGTTTAAATGTTCAGCCCTTGGTTGCAAATTATGATTAAGATAATTTACAATTACAACCCCTAAACATGTACTGGCTGCCTTTCCCTGTCACAGCAGCTGCTTCTTTCACTGCTGATACTGAGACTGTGTGGGTAGAGAATGGAGATACATGTGAGGGTCATAAAGCACCTGCAGGTCTCTGTCCTCAGACAGGATGAAGCCGGGGTCCATGAGGGAAACAGCGAAGTAGAGCAGCACCGAGCCCAGAACCAGCAGCACGAACAGAACCGGCTGGACCAGCTGCCCCGTCTCCTCCTGCTGCCTCAGCTCTACACACATACACACAATTTACTCAAGACACACTGAAGTCCTGCTGACAGATACCAGGCAGGTGTATTGTATAAAGCATGGTTTATAAGTTAATCACAACATTAAGTAGCTTTCCTCCTCAGAGTAACGTTAAGTGTTATAAACAGGCTTACCTGTATCATGCAGGAAGAGTATGAGGGTGATGACCCATGTCAGAATCACATGAGCTGTCCTCACCAGGAACCCTGAGCCGAACACATTCTTGAACATGGTGCTAGCATGTTAGAGCCTCCATATCTCTGCAGAGGACCTGAGAGCCGTCAGTGTGTAGCGTCATTAGCCATGGCGTTAACATCAACAACTAGCTAACGGTGTTAACGTTCCTGAAACATCGAAGCGTCCTGTCAAAAAGCTAGCGTTAATGTCGCTAACAGCTAACGGCTGTACTGCGACCGCCGGGGGCGCTAACCCGTTTTGTTTCGTGTGACTGAGCCATGAACACTGCATTAAATAAATAAATCGAAAAACACTATTTTAGAATTCTCGCTCTGATGCATTTGTGTTTTGTTGTTATCCCTGTGCAGTCACAGCTGTGATTGGCCAGAGACGGTCACGAGACAGTCCAGGATAGGGTGGCCGAGAGGGACAAAAAGCCAGGACTGCGCATGATGATAGGATCCTGACTGTGCTGTGATTTCAAGCAGGAAGCACACTGGTAACTGCGAGTAGTGGGATTTAGTGGTTAATGGATAAAACACACAGATACACACATCAACAGATACCACTATTATTATCGGTCAGAATATTGGATGTATTGTTAGAATGCCAGAAGCTAAAGCTGCATTTAAACGTATTATCCTTCACTATCCTCTAAGGAGGCGACATATCTTTACTCACTTCAAAGCTGATATGGTGCACTATTTTGCATTACTTTCCTTTTATTTCAAAACGAAATAGTGGATTGTTTTGCTATTGTGACTCAGTATAACTGTTCTGAAGGAAATATTCTCCAACAACTCCATCATTACACAGTAACACTTCTCTCAAACATATCATAAACATTTTTCATTCTTATCCTGAAACAGTTTGAAAATTAACTTTTGGCCTTAAAGTCAAAATGGTATTTGGACAAATGAATGCACTGAAAAGACAGGGAAAGGATATAGGTTGTATTCTTTTGTATATATTTTTAGAAACATGTAAAAATAAAATAAACTCATTGCTCGTCCCTTAATTTTGTTCTATTGGTTTTAAATCCCATGATATGTAGATGTTCCTCAACAAAGAGAGAATGACATGACATGTATGACAGTTTGATTTGATTATCTTCAAATACAGTTAAAAAATGTATTTAAAACAACAATTTTAGGCTGAATCCATCCCAGTTATCTTCTCCATCCTTCGCTCCAGCTCACTGAATCTATGCTCCTCTCACACTACTTTATTTTTCACAGAGGTGCTGCTGAGCCCGCAGCTCTATGGCCTTTTCTTCATCCAGAATGAGCGGAGTTTGCAGCGTCCTCCCTTTCAGCATCTCCAGGCCCTGCAGGAGGAGATGGAGGGTGAACTACACCACTGTATTCAGACTTCACAATGGGGGTGATAGCACTATGTTCAAGCTACCACTTATTTCAAATTTAAAACAATTAAAAAAAGAAATCAACTTTTGTAACTGCAGTTCACCAGTTGAAATTTCTTCAACATGTTCCATATTTTACATGGATCTGTGGGCAGGTTCATGTCCTTACCTCTCCAAAGTAGGAGACCAGCGGTGAAATCTCCCACTGCGCTGGAGCAGTGTCCCCTGCTGATGCACTATGGGGAAAAGAACATGTTTAAATTTCATGGATGGATACAGATTTTCCCAGTCTATCTAATACTACATTCTCAAGCACATATGCATATAGAATCATTGGTCGCTGTGAGCATTTCTCCTCTCAAAAGCACTAAAAAGCTGAACATTTATTTAGTTTAGTTAAGAAATGTAGTCCTTTATTTCTTACAGGACGTGATCTCTTTAAAGCCAGATACAGCCTCCAATAACAGATCCTTTTCTGTCAAACCAAACAGCACACTGCATACATTCAGCTGCTTATTTTTAAACTATCTGAAGATTTGGGAATCCAACTAAATCCTTCACTTATGAAACTGTATCTCCACTATATAAGGATAGAGTGAAAGTCCTGACACAATGGGTGTTTTATGAACCTTGGAGCAGGGAGGGTGTTCCCGTGTTCATCACACAGAGTGGCTCCTGCAGCGGCCGCCCAGCGCAGGTGCTGAGTCAGCAGAGAGGCCCGGGCCGTGGTGGGGGTGTCTGTAGCAGCTCCGCCTGCGTTCTTCAGGGGGGAGAACTCATCCTCCCTCACAACCTCAAATGCAACGAAGTTCCTTCCAAAAGATAGATGGAATATATTAAAAATGAACTGTACAGATACTGTTTTATGATTTAATGCTACTTGATGTAGAGTAAAACAACAGATGATAACAGCTAAAGACCAAATATAATAGATTAAAACATGTACCTTGAGAATGGAAAGACATCAAACACAAATTTCTCCATCTTTATGCCATTAGGTTTGATGGGTTTGACTTGATTGCCACATGAGTCCACAAAGGGCACTTTCTTTAATGCGACATGCTGTTTCAGTTGGCCTTCAAACTTCCTGTAAGATGAAAAAAATCGTAGTAAATCAAGAGCATTTACTTTATAGGATGTCACAACAGGGTTTATCCTCTGAGGTCAGGAATTCACAAAGTTGTGTCATAAAAAACATAGATACATTTTTTGTTGTTTTTTGTAATTTATAAATAGGGGACAAAAGTGTTAATGAAGTGCAAACTTTGTTCTGGCGGGGTCAGAGATTCACTAAAACCTTCAGGAGTAGTCTGCTGGGGAAAATGAATAATCCACAAAATATGTTTTAGAGTGGCCAGTTTTTAAAGCGTAATTCCAGAGTTGAGTTGTGAAAATATTTGACTTTAGAAGAATCATTTGGACGGACAGACAGACTCTAATTTATTACAAACCTGTGTATAAAAAGGCTAAGTCACACCTCACTACACAGTGTTTAATTCTCCTTGTTAGAGAAATTTGTATGGAAGTAAAAAAACAACAAAATAAAAGTGAGAATTTTGGGTAATATACACAGCTGGTTGTGAGAGAAGCAAACAGTGTTTGACTCTCATCCTCAGTTACAACCCTTAGGGTGTGATGATTAATGAGAGGGAGGAAATAAAATGGCATCACTGTTATTCCCCAGGTCCTTTAGTGGTCATAACATGGGTGGGAGTTAGGGTTAGTTATGTCAGCTCATGGAGTCAGAAACTGGGGGTTACGTATTGTAACCCTAGTTATATAAGCACAGGCGGAGCCCTCTACTGGACTCTATGGGTACTACCTCTTAACCACCTACTGAGATATCTATAAACGTAGCCGGCCCCTCGGGGCGGGCCTACCTGAATGCGTGCACAAGCCCAACGTATATAAGGCGGCCACGCCTCCTGACTGTCATCCTACACCCTCTTCAGCGAGCGGCATAGGACAGACATGGCCCCAAGTAGAGGGCTCCGCCTGTGCTTATATAACTAGGGTTACAATATGTAACCCCCCGTTATATCTTACACAGGCTCCGCCCTCTACTGGACTCTATGGGTACAGTGGGTGGAGCCCTGATGCATAAACGCCCTGTCGTCCAACAACATCGACCCATCACACTGCCCCTGACCGGCTTTTGGTTAACAGCCACTGCACCGCAACTTTAAGATAGACAAACTAACATCTCTGTTAACCGCCTTTGCTTTCTCACTGTCTCCGTCCCCACCAACTCATAAAGCTGGCAATGTCCTTGATCTCATATTCTCAAGGAACTACACTACTTCTAACCTCTCTGTAAACCCGCTCCACACATCCGATCACTTCTTTATTTCATTCTCTCTACCCCTTTCCAAACATAACGAACTAATCTCTTCTCATCCTGCACCTGTCCGCCGTAACCTTCGTTCCCTCTCCCCCTCTACCTTTGCCTCATCGGTGCTCTCAGCCCTCCCTTCCTCTGACTCGTTCCAACTCCTACCTCCAAACTCTGCTGCAGAAACTCTCCTCTCTACTCTCTCATCCTCTCTGGACTCTCTCTGTCCTCTCACATCTCGGCAGGCTCGTCAGTCCCCTCCTGCTCCCTGGCTAAATGACGCTCTGCGTGCTAATAGAACCGTCCTTCGGGCAGCAGAGTGGAAATGGTGGAAATCCAAACACCATGACGACCTCCTAACCTATCAGGCTCTCCTCTCCTCTTTCTCTGCTTCGATCTCTCAGGCAAAAAGCACTTTCTTTCAAGATAAGATCCAATCTTCCTATTCCAATCCCAAAAAACTATTTTCCATCTTCTCCTCCCTCCTGGACCCCTCCAAAAGCTCCTTCCCCCTCCTCACCTTCTGTCAAGCGACTTTGTTAACCACTTTGAAAAAAAGGTTGATGATATTCGCTCTTCTTTTTCTGACTCACCTTTACTCACCACTGGGTCACCAGACCCTCCTTTCACCCACACACTAACCTCCTTTTCCCCTCTCTCTCCAAGTGAGGTTCTTACCCTCATTACCTCTGCCCGTCCTACCACCTGTCCTCTGGACCCTATCCCTTTAAACCTCCTTCAGACTATCGCTCCTGATATTCTACCGTTTCTCACCCATTTCATCAAAACTTCTCTAACTTCTGGTCACTTTCCAAACAGTCTCAAGGAGGCAAGAGTAAACCCTCTCCTAAAGAAACCCACTCTCAACCCGTCTGATGTTATAAACTACAGGCCTGTCTCTCTCCTCCCGTTCCTGTCTAAAACACTTGAACGCGCTGTCTTTAAACAACTCTCCTGTTATCTCCATCAGAACAACCTTCTGGATCCGCACCAGTCTGGTTTCAAGGCAGGTCACTCCACAGAAACTGCCCTCCTTGCTGTCACTGAAGAACTGCACACTGCTAAAGCAGCCTCCCTCTCCTCTGTCATCATCCTTTTGGACCTGTCTGCTGCATTCGACACGGTGAATCATCAGATCCTCCTTCGCACTCTCCAAGAACTTGGAGTTTCAGGCTCTGCACTTTCCCTCATCACCTCATACCTCAAATACTGCACCTACAGGGTTACTTGGAGAGGGTCCGAGTCCGACCCTTGTCAATTAACTACAGGGGTCCCTCAGGGCTCTGTTCTTGGTCCCCTCCTCTTCTCCTTGTACACAAACTCGCTCGGATCTGTCATTAGCCCGCATGGTTTTTCATACCACTGCTACGCTGACGACACCCAATTAATTCTGTCCTTCCCCCGCTCAGAGACCCAGGTCGTCGCACGCATCTCTGCTTGTCTAACTGACATCTCTCAGTGGATGTCTGCTCATCACCTCAAGCTCAACCTTGACAAGACTGAGCTGCTCTTCCTTCCGGGAAAAGATTGTCCCACTCTTGACCTAACAATCAACATCGGCACCTCTGTTGTTTCCCCGACTCAGACTGCAAGGAATCTGGGTGTGATCCTAGATAACAATCTGTCCTTCACTGCAAACATCGCTGCCACAACCCGTTGCTGCAGATACACGCTTTACAACATCAGGAGGATACGTCCCCAGCTGACCCAGAAAGCGACGCAGGTTCTGGTCCAGGCTCTCGTCATCTCACGCCTAGACTACTGCAACTCCCTCCTGGCTGGTCTACCTGCATGTGCCATCCGACCTCTGCAGCTCATCCAGAATGCAGCGGCTTATCTGGTTTTCAACCTTCCTAAATTCTCCCACACCACGCCGCTCCTCCGCTCCCTCCACTGGCTTCCGGTAACTGCTAGAATCCACTTCAAGACAATGGTACTTGCGTACCATGCTGTGAATGGATCTGGCCCACCCCAGCACGTGCACTCCGCTCTGCATCAACCAAACGACTCGTTGCGCCCTCGCTGCGAAGGGGACCCAAGTTCCCATCAGCAAAAACACGTGGGTTTGCTATCCTGGCTCCAAAATGGTGGAATGAGCTCCCCATTGACATCAGGACAGCAGATAGCTTGCACATCTTCCGGCGCAGACTGAAAACTCATCTCTTTCGACTCCACTTCGAGCGATAGAACTATTAACAAAGCACTTATATACTAATAAAGGACTGGCTTACCTAAAGCCAGTTGAGTAGCACTTGAAATGTTTTTGCTCTATGAAGCCTGATGTACTTATATGATTCTGTTTTCTTCAAGTTTGTATTTTGTTGGTCGAACGCACTTATTGTAAGTCGCTTTGGATAAAAGCGTCAGCTAAATGCAAATGCAATGTAATTTGCTGAACATGCGTGGGCATAGGGAGTAGCTAAACGGTAGTCTGTTGTACTCGTAGGCTACCCCCCTGGAAGACAAAAAGCAAATACTTTCTGTGCTTTGGAGCCATTTTCGACATGAAAGTAAACGTTCTTCAGGTCGATGGTTGTGAACCAATCGCCCGGCTGCCCTAGTTCCAGTAATTGGTTTACATATGGAACTTTTTGCAGGCAATGTGCTGATTCAGGCTGCGAAGATCCAGAATGGGTCTTCTTGGGAACCAGGAAGTACATGGAGTAAAGCCCCTTTTCTCTCTCCTGAAAGTGCACAACAAACAGAGGGTGTTTCTCAATGTCGAGTATGCTTGCTTGGTAGCACATGTCTTCAGAGTCACTTGCTTCAGAAGCGAGGCAAGAATACTTCCTGCCTTACATTTTCTACCACAGATTTGGGTAAATTGGTCCGTGCGCAAAGCATTGTGGGGATTTTAAGACCGCGGAGTCTACACATGTACAGCCTCGAAATTTCTCGCTACGAAGTACGCCGGGCTCGGTAGAATTCCAAGTATGCTGGACATTGGAACAGTCCTTCGGCGGCACGTAGTATGCTTGAAATAGTGGCTGTGGAGCAGCTTTACTCGACATTGAGAAACACCCACAGCCTATTTTTGCAACAGGGCCTGAATCTCTGTTGAAAGGAAACCTATCTGCTCCTGGGATGATAGATTTGCCTCTCTTAAGCCCCTGAATGGAGGAGGGACGCTCCAAAACTACCCCAGTTTCAGTGTCCTGTCCATCCATTCTGTCAGTACACAGCTAAGCTTCCATTCCCCATAAGACTGTGTTAGGGGACTTGCAAGCAGCTGTGGAGTCGCAGCTAAGCTGTAGCACTCTCTGGCGGCCCACTCCGCCGCCAAACCTTCCATAAAAGGAAGATTGGCTCATGGGGGGCTGACACAGAAAGGGACGATTTTCTACAGAGGTCCTTGAACGCACCGCGGCACACCCTCGGGGGTCCGCGCGCCCCGTCATAACTCCATCTTCACAGAGACGGTGAAATGCATCAATCGGAGCTATTACACTAGGCGAGGTGTGTTTTCTGCAACATGCCGGCCATAATGTCCCTGCACCCGCATAGCGCTTTGACAGCACTTCCTGCGGTTAATCACACTCACATGCGCGCGCCCACTGGCTGCCTCCTTTACTGGAGTTACAACTGGGGCGGCGAGTGGGGAATTTTGTCTCATAATGGGTGCCCAATTAACATCGTATGAAATGGATCTTGCCGATTTCAACGAGACATTGTGGGGAAATTTGGAATTGTGGAGAGAGATGACTTCACTCTGGGATGAATGCAATCGTTTTTATTGAATGCATTTTTCACACACACATCACTCTAGAACTAGGGTTACAATACGTAACCCACCGTTCTTGCAACAGGGCCTGCATTTCTGTTGCAAGGAAACCTATCTCCTCCTAGGAGGATAGATTTGCCTCTCTTATGCCCCTGAATGGAGGAGGGACGCTGCAAAACTGGAGTGAGTAACCCAGTCTCAGTGTCCAGTCCATCCACTGTCAGTACACAGCTGAGCTTCCATTCCTAGGCACAACGTGTCTACGTACATGCACTCCCTTAGGATAGGTTGAGAAGAAGTAAGGTACAGAGGTGGAGAGGCACAACGTATCTACGTACATGCACTCCCTTAGGATAGGTTGAGGGAAAAGGGTAGCAAGTAAGAAGTGAGAAACCGAGGTGGAGAGGCACACGCAGGGAGAGAGGTCCCCACTGGAACCTGAATTGGAATTGGTGAGAGGTAAGGAGTTACGCTGTGAATAAGGTCTAAACACTCCCCGGCCAGAATAGGCCTCTCTGCAACCTGTTACCCTCTAATAGAACCTCGAGAGGTCGGAGAGGGGAAAGGTTTGGATAAAGAGAAAATAGAATGAATAGATTACAGGAGTAGAGAGTATGAGAAGTAGAGAGAGAGAATAGATTTAGAAGAATGAGAAGTAGTAATAACCTTAGTTTTAAATATAAGATTAAGTTTTTAGGATTTAAGTGAAAGAGTAAGAACTAAAATGTATAGGTGAAGAGGCACAACATGTCAATGCACTCTTATTAGATTATTTGATCAACTATAAGCTTAAACTATAAATGCAATCGTTTATACTGAATGCATTTTTCACACACATCACTCTAGAACTAGGGTTACAATACGTAACCCACCGTTCTACTGCGGAGGTCCCTGAACGCACCGCAGCCACTCTCACGGGGGCCGCGCGCCTTCGTATTAACGCTGTGTTTCACATTCAACAGTGAAACGCATTAATCGGAGCTATTATACCAGGCAAGGTGTGTTTTCTGACAACAGCACGCCGGCAATAGCGTCTCTTGAACCCGTACAGTGCTTTGACAGCACTTTCTGCGGTTTATTCCACTCACGTGCGTACGCCTACCTGCTGGCTCCTTTCCTTTACGGCGAGTGTGGGACAGTGTTCTGTCCTCTGAGGATGAGCAAGAAGCAGCATACCAAGCTGTGACTACTCCTCATCCAAGTGACCAAGGAAATCGATCCAAAGAGCCCTTCAGTAAACACGGGGGCTCCCAGGAGATCATCACGGTCTTTTTGGCAGAGGCTCTCTGCCCAGCCTGCTGGGAGCAGATGGCCACGCTCCGCCGCCATGGTCATCAGCTAGGGTGAAGTACCGACCTGGCCGGTGGACTTCCATGGACACCGGACCCGGAAGTGCCCGACAACGAGAAGTTTTCGTCATCCTCCTCCCCGGCAAACGGAGCCATCCGCCCCGCTGGAATTGCGAACGTGAATGGCACCGCCTCGGCCTCTGGGATAGGCGCCCGCTATTAAGCCAGGGCACGAAGGACAAGCCCGGGTCTCTAGAAGTGGCGACTCCATGAAGGTATGATAACTCTTTCTTCTTCTTTCAAACGTTTTACTTTCTCTGCTTCAGTTGTAGCTCGCTCGCTGAAGAGAAAAGGATGACAGTCAGGAGGTGTGGCTGCCTTATATACGGTGGGCTTGCGCACGCATTCAGGTAGGCCCGCCCCAAGGGGCCGGCTACGTTTATAGATATCTCAGTAGGTGAATGCTCGCATAGTATGGTTAAGAGGTAGTGCCCATAGAGTCCAGTAGAGGGCGGAGCCTGTGTGAGATATAACCTTTTTACTGCCCACACTGAAACAATCGGTTTAACTAAAACAAAACTGTGAACTGAAGCTTTGCTACTTTACTAATTATTTTTAAACCTAAATATGTTCAGTAATTCACTTTCATAAACATCTCTCATTAAGATGTATAAATTCAGTCACATTTGAGCGTCACCACATCAATCAGGACACATCATGAGGTACAGACCAAGTGTTCTGCCTCTGGACAGAAACAGTCTGTGGCAGAGGAAGCTGGTGTGGTGAGGACATGGGACCTGAGGACATTACATTTAGATTCATAATGGCAGGCAGTGATCGCTGATGTAAACACAATATTTATTTTGGAAATAACTGCTGACATGGGCACTACCAGTTTATTTGTTTCCTTTACTTAGCTTGTTATTTTTGTATTATTCGCTAAGGTGAACCTCAAAGTGTATTTAGTGAGTATTTGTGGCAGTAGGGATTGAGTCTCAATAACTTCAGTGTGTGGTAATGAAGGAAAGTGTCAGCCAGTGCAGTGAGGCTTATTTATCTTCCAACAGCAGTGGAGCTCAGTGAGGACTTCCGTATTTCCGCTCCAGATAGAGCTGCAGATGCATTCACTGCTGGTTTGGGACGGCCATGGGCTTTGTTGAAAATATTATGAAAATACAGAATATCCCAAATGTTTGTTGAGTCAGCATGGCAGACAAATGTTCAGATTTAAAATCTAAAGCACTCTTCAGTGGTGGAATGTAACCAAGTATATTTACTCAAGTACTGTACCTAAGCACAGCCCCACCTAGTGTCAGCAGAAAGTATTAAAATAATAATAAAAAAAAAATGCAAAGAAAATACATCTTAAAATATATTTTACGATCATGTTTAATCATCTGACTCGTCTGTACATTGCTGTTTTAGTCTGTGTTCTTCTAATTAGTGTCTCCAGTGTGTGCCTATTGAGCCGTTTTGAGCAACGTGGGTCAATCATGCCCCTCTCTCTCACTGTCTAAGTGAATGGGTGCTGTAAAAACTACACTGCGCATGCTCAGAGTATTTTTCTATTCAATGTGTGCGGCAAAAAAATAATGACCATAGGGGCATAGTGCTGCCATCCCCACCATACGTCATCTCACATCATTCAGAGCTGATTGGCTGTAAGTACGTGTTCCGCGAAAAGTGTCGTGTGTGAAGATGAGACGAGAGACGCGTCCTAAAACCAGGAAGTAAGCTGCGCATGGGTTCCCTCCACAAAAAAGCAATGAGATTTCTCCATAGGATTTTAGAAAATAGCTCGAAATAAGATCTGTGGGAAACGTAGCTGTTAGATAAATGCACGTTTTGTTCAGCCGGATAATATCCACATGTCTACCCTACTTTTATAATTTTCGAAATCATAAATCTATCGATCATAAATCTATCTATCATAAATCTATCGATCATCTATGATAGACTTTTGAAACTACAAGAAGATAAGGAGGACTTTTACAAAAAAGTAATAGAGATTTTTGTCCAGAAGGATAGGCAAATGGACTTCATCTTCAAGCCAAGGTAAGACCACCATTTTATTGAAAATGGGATCTTACTAAGAGAGAACAATTCAATATTTAAATGATAAAATTACATTTTTTGGGTATCCTTTTGTTGAACTGTCTGTTTAAAATTAATTGAAGCATCAGACTAAAGAGGCTTTTGAAAATAATAGAATATTTTAATTTAGGTCAAAATATAATATTTGTAAACCTGAAGAGCCAGTGGCTCACCAGCAATGAACCTCACTGCAGAAGCTTATATATAGACATCTAAGTTGTTTGTGCCCCACCACTTTTGTACATATAAAAACGCCACTGGGTACATATTATGTATTATTATACGTTAAGCTATCCAGCAGTATAGCAAGTAATTTAAATAATCCCCACCTTTACCAAGTGAACATTGATATTAATGCATTAATAATAATTATAATTCACAAATGTAATATTTTTAAATCTGATATGGGCCATACTGGAAAAGGAGTAATTTTACTTTTTGTACTTAAAGTATATTTTGATACCAATATGTTTGCATTTTAACTTAAATACAATTTGCTGAATGCACGACTTTTACTTGTAACAGAGTTGGTTTAGTATTGCTACTTTTACTGAACAGATCTGAGTACTTCTTGGACCTCTGGCACTCTTCAGTAGAACTCTTCTGCCAAAAGTGGCCATAAGTTTAGCTTTGAATATATGTATTGAGGTATTCATCTGAACTTTGTATTTCTATGTGTCGTTGTTTTACATTTAAGTCAGTGGGATTTCTCTCACTGTGCCCCCCCCCACACTGTGTTCCTCTCCACATGTGACAGTAAACTTACTCTGCCACGTCCTGCAGGAAGGCCCTGGTGAAGAAGTGGTTGCAGATGTTTCCAGCGCTGTACACCAGCCCTCCCCCAGGTCCTCGCAGCTCCGCTGTCTCCGGCTGGATCTCACTGTACTCCACCACCTGGGAGACCCCCCGCACCCTGCAGACCACCCCCACCGGCTCCGCAGGGCATGCCTTCTCCACCACCTGACAGCAGAGAGGGACAGACTGGGATTAACATGTGCCTTTTTTTTTAAATCTGACTGCTGGTGAGTAGCTCTTATTACAAGTGTGAGTGGTGCAGGAATGAGTCCTTTAACTAGAAATTAGTTAGCATTGTACCCCTTCGTATCTGAAAGTGGGCCTGAAATAAGGGCTTTATTAACACAAACTGAAGAGTTATTAATGCTTTGTTTGAAATCATATAATACCTCAGTAATTACCCCACTGGAGAATGTCTGAAGCTTATTTAGTCACCCTAAAAAGTGTCTCAATGAGACTACTAACCGTCATCATGGTAAACATTTGCTACTTTAGCTAAGAAGTGGTGGAGTGAAGTCATGTGACTGTTATGTCGTCTGCTTACAGCCTAGCATTAGATTTTTTACTTCTAGTGATTGCATTTATGCTTAGAAATCCTAAACCCTCATGTATTTAACATCTCTTTGTTCAAACAAGTAAGTGGCTATATTTTCTAAATGTTCATGTTTTCTTCAACATAACATTACTTATTTTAGAAACGTATATTCTTATATATATTCTTTGCGAAATAAATTGATATCATGCTCATGTCTGTGTGTTAAGAACAGTGCTGGATTCAGGACATGGTTAGCTTAGCTTAGTTTAGCAGCAAACAGCGTCAAAAATAAATCTACCACAATCCATCAAAGCTATGTTTTAGTTTTGAACAAATTGTGTTTGATACATAGAGAAAAAATAACGCCTCCCTGCTTCAGTTTTATCTCAAAAGCACAGACACGACATAGGGAAAGCAGATAAGCATATTTCCTTAGAAATAGACTGTTATATCTAATGTTTGATACCTTGGCTCCGCAGTCGGCCCCTTTGCTCACACAGAACCCAATGAACACAGGGTCGGCCATTTTGACCAGGATGTTGTCCACACAGTACACGTGCAGGTACTCCACTCCCCTCTTCTTCATGTCCTCCAGCACCTTGTTGTCCACCAGCGCCTGGTACAGTCCTCCATTCCCATCTGACACAGAAACATGGCGCATTGCCTCAAACTGTGCTGAACACATGATGAGTGAAGCCAAAGTGATTCCCTGACATTAGAGTCTGGATCTTCTCCTACCTGGGGCCATGGCTAGCTTTCCTTTCCCCTGCAAGATGACCTTTCCATCGAAGGTCACTGCTGGGATCATCCTCTGCTCAAACATAACAATGTTTGAGGGCTCCATACCAAAGTAGTGGTTCTCCTTGAAGAACTTCTCAGTGGGAGCCAGAGTGAACTCACTGGTCATTATGTACCTGAAGAATTGCAACAGTATAGACAAGAGGTTTACCATTTTCAGTCTTATTCTTGGTCGCCTTCCCTGCCATATACATTTTGAAAAAGTATTTATAATTTCTCAAATGTAGACTTCGGGATATCAACAGGTAACATTTGAAATGGATATAGGAGCCTCTGCCATACAGTCATAGGTCAAGTCTCAATGCGGCTCACATAGTGTTGCCCATCCGTCCAGATCCTTACTGAGGTTTTGGATTATGCTCTTGTAGTTTGTGTCGTATACATTTTTTAACGATGAGGGAATTTGTATACCAAGATATTTGCTGCCAATTTTAGGCCATTTAAACCGACTCTGAAGTTTGACCGTTTGTGAAATCCCTCCCCCTAAATCAGTGGTTCTCAAAGTGGGGGGCGCGCCACCCCTGGGGGGCGCAGAGGCATGCCAGGGGGGGGCGCGAGAGACCAGGAGGAAAAATGGTTATTTTAAAAAAAAAAAAAAAAAAAAAAAAAAAAAATCATAAATTAAAAAATTATTTATTCGAAAATAATATGATGTAGTACTATCACGTCTGGGTCTCTGTGTTTCATTAAAGCTCGGCTCTGTGTGTGTGTGTGTGTGTGTGTGTGTGTGTGTGTGTGTGTGTGTGTGTGTGTGTGTGTGTGTGTGTGTGTGTGTGTGTGTGTGTGTGTGTGTGTGTGTGTGTGAAATGAGCCATTTTGTGTGCGCGAGCAAGAGAGAGCGCACCGGTACCGGAGATCGTTGTTGTTGTTAGCTTCTGGTGCTAGCGAGCTACGCTAACGGATATAAGGAGTTTTTTCAACAACAAGGTGGAGGAGAGTCCTCTCCTGTCAGACTGAGAGGCTCAGTGAGCTAAAGGACTCTCTCAGTGTTTAGATAGTTCACTTTAGTCTAAGTTATCTCAGTGGGTCTCAAACGTTTTGGTCACCATTAATGTAAACAATTATTTCCGAGGCACACGTTTATATGATCATTATAGTTTAAAAAAAAAACGTTACTGAGCCTGACTATTTGTGTTGGGGGGGCCCGATTTTTTTCTTTTCTCAAAAGGGGGGGCCTGACAGAAAAAGTTTGAGAACCACTGCCCTAAATCCATAGCCACTGTTTTATCTACATTTACCTTAAAGCCCGAGAAATATCCAAAGGTTAAGATGAGGTCCTTTAAGTATGGGATTGTTGTTGCCGGCTAAGATATAAGAACATGTCGTCCGCATATAAGGAAAGCTTATGTTCTTCTTCATTTATTGTCAGTCCCTTTATGTTAAAATCATCTCTGATTAACTGTGCCAATGGTTCAATGCTGATATTAAATAACAGAGGTGATAAAGAGCAGCCTTGTAGAACGTTCTAGGATCGCTCAGATACATACCCGTTCACTTTAACAGAAGCCTGTCGGTTAGAGGATTACCACTTTAATATATATATATATTTAGTCTACTCTGCAAAATGTTGGTGACTTTTCTTATCTTAAAACATCTTTAAGTTAATCAATCATAAAGCTAAAAACAGTCCTGTCTTTATCAGTGAACATTATGTGAAGCTTCTATAATCGATATTTCAGTATCAACAACAGATCACATGACTACTTGTTTGCGAAAGCTGTCGCTTGCAGCAGCAAACACACAAGTAATAATCACAGTCTTAACTTCTTGTTTGAGTTGCAAATATTCTGATCTGGTTCAGGCTCACTCTTTGGTACCAGCAGCAGCTGTCTCTAGCATGACTTCCTGCCCAGCACCAAACAGCAGGAAGCAGAGGTGGAAGAAGTACTCAGATCTTGTACTTAAGTAAAAGTAGAAGTACCAGAGTGTAGGAATACTCTGTCACAGTAAAAGTCCTGCATTCAAAATGTTCCTCAAGTGAAAGTAGAAAAGTATTCTCATCAAAATATAGTGAAAGTAGCGACAGTAAAAGTAGTCGTTGTGCAGATTGGTCCATTTCAGAATAATATATATGATATGTTTTATAATGATTGATCATGAAAGTGTTCTCAAAGCTGGTGAAGGTGCAGCTAGTTTGAATGACTTTGTATACTGCAGGGTAGCTTGAGGATTTACTCCAGGTGGAACTAAAGTCTTTAACAAGATGTAACACTTGATTAGATTTCACATCATTCATCCACATCTGTGAAGTAACTAAAGGTATTAAATACATGTAGTGGAGTAAAAGTACAAAGTAGCCAAGGTAGAAATACTCAAGTAAAGTACTAGTATCTCGAAATTGTACTTAAGTACAGCACTTGAGTACATGTACTACTGGCAGTAAGGCACTTAGCACAAAGCTAACATACAGTAGAGCTAACATCTTACCAGGGCACGGTGGATTTGGAGCCATACTTCCTGTCAGCCAGCTGCTGGATCTTGTGAATGCGCTCTGCCTGGATCTGATACAAGGTTTTGCTGCTTGGTAGCCCAACGTTATACATCCCTTTGGGGTACTGAACACCCAGACGGGTCCCCTGACCCCCGGCCAGCAGCAGGACTCCAACTCGATTCTGTGAGATTTGCAACAGCCCTGTGGAAATAAAGTGTCACATGAGCAGGCCTTTATACTTTACAACTGCACCCATAGCACACTTCTGTCATATGGTATCATAAAGAGGAAGACAATCTATCACAGTGAACATTATGTCTGCGATCATTTCAACTTAAAACATACATTATTAGAATATGCTGCACTAAACATGCTGCTTATTGAGAGCACAATGTTCAGAACAAAAGTGCAGATATAATGCAAAAGTTAAAATACAGAAGTTTAGCTACTGTAAATGTAAAAGTACTTGAAAAGTATATTATTGTTTATCACATCAGATTAATAATACTGAAGCAACAATGTGTAAGCACATCGGTGGAAAGCTACTAAGTACATTTACTCGATTATTGTACTCAAGTATTTTTTGACATATGTAGGCCTACTTTACTTGAGTATTTCCTTTTATTGCTACTTTATACTTTTACTCCACTACATTTCAAAGGCGAATATCATACTTTTCAATAAACTACATGCTATTTGAACAGAACTTATGTATGAACCATTACATTACATGTTACTTGTTAGACGCTTTTATCCAAAGCGATTTACATACTCAATACTGTGGGCAATCCCCACATTATTGAGTATGACCATAGACTGTATAAGGTATGAACAGGTAATTTGGTCAGGTCCAGTTCCTGCTGGATCCAGTGACTGATGACAGGTTATTATTAATAACCTGCTTTATGGGGATACTGCTGCTGGATGTGAATTAGTGATCAGAACATCTCTGACATTAACACAGACAAACACAGTAACCTGCCACCGTCTTCCTCTTCTTACTTCCCACACTTTACAAAGTATACATTTGCCTACAGTCTCTGACATTAACAGGTTTCAGTCACCTTCATGTTCCCACTCGGTCAGAGCCTTTGAGCCGCTCCTCCTCACGCTGCCGATGCTCTCCGGGGGGACAGGCTCTATGTGCCGGTCCAGGCTGCCGGGCGGGGCGGCTGCAGCCCGGGCGGCCCCCTCACAGTGCTCCCGGAGCCGCTGCAGGTCCAACTGGGACAGATCCTGGAGGAAAGCGTCCCTCTCCAGACCACTCAGCTCTGGCCAGAACTGCAGGACGTGAGCCTGCCCCGCTCTCTCCAAACTCTGCTTCACTTGCTCCAGAGAAAGCATCGTGTCTCTCGGTACAGAAGCAAACTGTGGAGTATGAAATAAAAAACACTCGGATCAACTTCCCTGTCAGCAGGATGCAGTTTGTAGGAAGTGACCGGACTCCCGAACAGCTCGTGACTGCTAACCTGAAGGCTCTTTGTGCGGTAGGTTACCGCGGTGAAGTTAGTTTTAGGTTGGATATTCGACAGACATTCGCGGACCAGCCAGCAGCGTCAGTTTCCCCTGCTGCTGGCTGGATTACGACGGGGAGATCTTCTCCGCGAGACGAGGCTTTCATTTAGGGACCATCAACAAATGACTTTTCAATTACACAAGAACAATGTTCTTTTTAACCTGTTGAACCCCATCCCCCCCGCCCCCGGGCGGAAAAACGCATCATCTGCAAGCAACAGTGTCTGAGGGCTTCTTAATATTTAATAAACCATGAATGTTTTATATATGTAACGGGAAGAAACTGAGCTAACTGATCAATTTATTATTTTTTTTTTGCAAAAAAAAACACAAAGCTAACGCTGAGCCTCTGAATTAGCCACGAGCGAAAAAATGCTAACTGCAGTTGCAGAGAAACTCACTCATAACACCATTATTACTTATCGTAGCTGCACATCCAACATATCGACAAGCATCGTGAGAATCGATCGGTACCTAGATTACATGGCGCTAGGTAGCAACAACGGCAATATGTGAGAAGGATTTCAAGATGGCGCCTGTGTCGGCATGCCGCTCCCTCAGCTCTCTGCCTTTAGCTATCCTGTTTTTGTTTTATGTTTGTCAGAATGTCCCTGCTCTGCTTGTCTATGATCGCCAAGCTCTCCTCCACCTAAGACCCTCACTGGAGTTTATACTGCTGCCCAAACCTATATCTGGCAACCTCTGGTTAGGGATTTTTTAAACCTCCTCGACTCTTTCGGTCTCATTCAGTCCGTGGCTGGCCCAACACATGATAAAGGACACACCTTAGACTTAGTATTATCGTTTGGATTGTCTATCTCTGTGGATGAAATCTGTGCAGCAACGCGTATTTCAGACCATTTACCGGTTCTGTTTACAACCTCGATCCCTTCTGTAGGAGTCGAATTACGTGCTCCTGCGCGTTGTCTGCGTTCAATTAACCCCTTGACTGCCTCACAGTTTTCAGATGCTTTTAATACTTATCCGATTTGTAAATTAGAGGTGAACTGTGCTTTTAGTGCGGATGAGCTTATCTCTTTGTTTGATTCGACATGCACACTAATACTGGATTCCGTTGCTCCTTTTACGCTTAGACGCACCAAAGTTCTCTCAGAGCCAGTAGCGTGGCGTGGGAACAAAATTAGGGGAAGCCAATAATACGTCCTTTCTTTTGGGTCGGGGGTGTGGTGGTCAATGTAATAACGTAACCAGATGAGTGATTACAGCACCCGGTATCATTTTACACACATTTGTATCAGATGCAGGACTTACACACGCCTGTTATCTAACCGACAGGTCCGCACGCACTCTCCAGCCGAAACTCTAATAAGCATTCATTCACAAACTAAATCAGGAGACCTTTAACGTTTTACGTCCGATTCGCTCCTTTTTTCCTCGCTGTACACAGCTCCAGTTTGGGCATCGGCCTGTCATCAGATTATATTTGTTGTTGCTGCTGTAGCGGAAGTTTAGTACAATTATTTTTTGATGAAATACTCCAAATCTCCACCCTCCATAATTGCACTTGCTTCAATTGCTTGCTACTTTCTAACGGCGGTGAGAGTGATGCAGTGACGCTATCTATCTTCTATCGATTAGATTTATGATTTGAAAATTATAAAAGTAAGGTAGACATGTGGATATTATCCGACTTAACAAAACATGCATTTATCTAACAGGTTCGTTTTCCACAGACCTTATTTCAAGCTATTTTCCAAAATCCTATGGAGAAATCCCATGTCGAGGGAACCCGAGCGCAGCTTACTTCCGGGTTTTAGGACGCGTCACTGCAACACTAAATTGATGCGATTTGATTGGATTGTGAGGCAAGGGAAGCCAGCCGCCTCGGCCTTCCCTTGGCATGGCCCTGACTAATCACAGGTTGGCAGGGGCATCACGTGAGCCTCATCTGATTGGTCAATCTCTCCATTTTTTTTCACCAAGGGAAGCCAATTTCGGCTAGCCTCCTCTCGCAACAGAGAGTGCAATCTACTGTTTCACCATAACATGTAGAGGGGCGCTGTTTCACTCTTTGTAAAATACTCAATGAGAATGGGGGAGAGACGGGCCGGCAACAACACATAGCACAGAAAAATTACCGAAACCAAATGAAGTGTTTTTATTTATTTATTAAAATGATAACTACAATCCGAAAAAACAGGGGAAGCCTGGCTTCCCTTGGCCTCCAGGAGAAAACGCCACTGCTCAGAGCCGTGGCTCAATGATTGTACTCGCGCTTTTAGACGCGCTTGTAGGCGTGCAGAGAGAAAATGGAAAAAGGATAAACTTCATGTCTCCTTAGAAATTCTTCGTGCTTGCCTTTCCGATTATCAGACGGCAGTCAAAGCAGCCAAAACAGAGTATATTTCTCTGTTGATCTCCAAAAACAGCCATAAACCTCAAGTTATTTTTAATGTCCTAAATTCGATCATTAATCCTTGTGATGCTTCTCCAATTGTGCCATCAACTACTCTCTGAGATACATTTCTTAATTTGTTTATCGAAAAAGTATCTGCTCTTAGGCTAGCCTATACTAGTGCTACCCCAGATCCTGCTCCCTTTCTGTGCCCTGCTGTCCTCGACCATTTTGAGCCTGTATCCCTCTCTTCTCTTTCGGAAGTAGTCAAGCACCTGCGGCCGACAAACTGCACCTTAGACAGCATTCCCTCTCGCTTCCTTAGAGATGTTTTTGAATCAGTTGGAGCAAGTGTTTTATTGCTTGTAAACACTTCTCTTAGCTCAGGATGTGTCCCAGCTGCCTTCTTTGGCTTTTGTTTAATTATCTATTTATTTATTTATTTAGTTATTTATTTATTCATTTAGTTCTTTATTTTAATATTTATAACATAACATAGGATTTCATAAAGTATTTTTAAAATAGTTTATACATTATTCAAATATAGGAATAGTAGATAGGATTACTTAAAATATAGTACCTTATATTTCATATTTTTTCCCTTTAGACCCTTGCGGTTTATTCTTAAAAATCCTTACCCTTACACACCCCCCCATCTTCCCTCTGCTGGTCTATGGCCTTGTAGAGGGTAACGGGGTACAGAGTCGCTTAGATAAGCGGGGGAGTGCATCTGACGAAGAGATAGGTTGTTGTGCTCCCTATCTCTGTTTCTTATCCTATATCTAATAGAACTGCTCGGGTCTTGATAGATTGAGTGGGGAAGTTCATGAGATCTTTCTAGAGGGTTATCAAGAATAACTTTTATCCAATGACCTTTTCCCTCTCTGTCTGTGTCTGTGTATTCTCTTGTTCCGATTAACCCAGCCAAATCTTTTTTCTTGTTTTGTATCTATATCTACGCCGGGATCCGGAGTCGAGGCTGATCCTCTTGCTGTAGTCCTGTGTCTTGGATCCTCTATCCTGAGTTCTGGATTAAGTCGTGGACTTCGGGTCGTGGCTGAACCTGTCTCTGCGGTCCTGCCTTGGGTTTCGTCATGCTGCTTCCCTGATGGCTTCCACAGGATTGTAGCTGACATCCTCGTGGATTCATCTTCTTATTACAGACACATGCATTTCCTAACATTCGGTCTATATGCTGTAAAATGTATTATCTCTTCGATTTACACACGGCATCTATTGCACGTCTGTCCGTCCTGGGAGAGGGATCCCTCCTCTGTTGCTCTCCCTGAGGTTTCTCCCATGTTCCCCTTAAACTGTGGGTTTTCTCTGGAAGTTTTTCCTTGTACGATGTGAGGGTCTAAGGACAGAGGGTGTCGTTTTTCTCATACTGATATTCTGAACAATCTGTGCTGTTGTATTTGCTGTAAAGTGTCTCTACTGTAGGCTATTTTTATTTTATGTACAGCACTTTGGCTCGACCAAAAATCGTTTATAAATGTGCTATATAAATAAAATTTGATTTGATTTGATATCTCCTACCTTCGTTGTTGTCTGATCAAAAGTTGTCTTCAATGGCATTAAAACGATAAAAACGCTGCTGAAGTTAATCCATAGGTTAATCCAATGTGTCTGGGTCACTTTGAATGATTTCTGATCATCCATAAGCAATAAACCTGCTTTTCCGTTTCCAGATGTCAGAGCGTGAGATAGGTTCGCTCTGGGCAAAACTGCATGTGCGAAGCCCCCACTTTTTTTTGTTAACGTGTGTATGTGGAAATTCCCCTTCGAACTTTTAGTCTACCTTACATCATACTATCCAAAGGTAGTTTTCACTATAAGTAAAAAAGAATTTTTGGACGGACACTATAATTTACAATTTTTTACTATGTTCAATCTGAATTTTCTTTAAAATAAAAAACATCTATATTGATTCTGACTTTTCTACATCCAACTCACAGGTTTATCATTACTTTGAGAACAAAGATTATTAATGTTCCCCTTTTAGAAGGGAAGATATGGTCATTTATTCTGGAAATGTCATTTTCGAGCCTGAGACCTGAAAAACAGGATAATAAATCGACAGCTTCCCGATCGTGTGAATGTGAAGCAAATCCACTCTAGAGTATGGGACCTAATGACTCAAAATCAGTGCTGGATCAAATAACTACACTTGCTGCATAGGACACACCTCTTTTTATTGCATTGTAATACTCTAAATATTTTTATATTAATATTTTGATGGAAAAATTTGCATATTGCTTCAATAACTTCCAGTTCAAGTGACCGAATCACTCAAAATTAGCGCTGGTTCAAATAACTACACTTGCTGCATAGGACACATCTCTTTTTTTGCATTTTAATACTTCATATATTTTATATTAATATTTGTATGGGAAAATGTGCATATTGCTTCAATAACTTCCAGGTCATGTGACCTAATCACTCAAAATCACTTTCTGAATTGAATACTAGTCTTTACACAATAGAGTGGTGCAGTGACGAGTCCTAAAACCCGGAAGTGAGTTAGCATTTTACCACTTCCTGTTCCCTCGTCTCAGAGTCAATGGGATATCTCCATAGGATTTTGGAAAATAGCTTGAAATAAGGTCTGTGGTTGATACACATTTAAGA